AGACTAGAAAATGAGATTCTCTGTTAAAAAAAAAATACAAGAATGCCTCACTTGCCAAGCAGGAATAGGAAAACTATATAAATTAAAAGTCTAAACTGTGGAATATGCTGAAAGAGATGCAGATATCACTTGCAGTTATTCACAATAACACACATTAATGTGGGAATGGCTCACTGAGGCTTGCTGAAATCGTCTCTACCTTCTGTACATTCTTTAAAGAGTAAAGATATATTAACAGTAGGTTAACATAATATAGGTATCTTTACTCCACCTCAATTGGACATCAAAGCTCTTAGGAAGGCAACAGCGGCAGCACTAAGCCTCCACCTTCAGATGGCTTCACAGGTTTGGGACAGAGACACTTGGATTTCTTGAATTCACACAGGACAGCTTTGAGATTCCCAGAAGCAATTGGTTGGAATTTTAAGGAGAAACCAACTTCCTGTGTTACGAAGATAGGGGCTAGAAGCAGTGAAATTTGGGATACTCCTATCAACACTGTTACTACCCCAGGATGGTGAGACCTGGGGAAATTTTGTAATAAATGAAAAGATAATGAAATACCATTACAAATCATTAATGCTAACTTACAAACAGGTACCGAATTTATGGCTCTTTAATGTCAGTAGTAATTGGTCCCATTACTTTTCTTTTTTGGCTGTGATGGGTCTTCCTTGCTGAGCATTTTCTCTAGTTGCGGAGAGCGGGGGCTACTCTTCGTTGCAGTGCGTGGGCTTCTCACTGCAGTGGCTTCTCTTGTTGCGGAGCACAGGCTCTAGGTGTGTGAACTCAGTAGCTGTGGCTCATGGGCTCTAGAGCACAGACTCAGTAGTTGTGGTGCACGGGCTTAGTTGCTCCACAGCATGTGGGATCTTCCCAGACCAGGGATCAAACCCATGTCTCCTGTATTGGCAGGCGGATTCTTAACCACTGTACCACCAGGGAAATCCCCCCATTAATTTTTAACTGTAAGTTACTCACTTTATTATATATGAGAAAATGGATGTATTTAAATAATACCTATAGAAAAAAGGTTTTACTTCTATAATACTTGATGTACCTAGTATAGTATAAGTTAATCATTAACTTCAGAATATAATTTTTGGTTTCTGGCATATTATAACATAATTTTTCTTCTGGTGGGCAATTCCTCTTTTTGCTCAGTTAATCCTTGAAATAAGAAATTATATATTAATTGTCTTAACACATCTTACCATATTTTAAAGCACCATGCCTTTATTTCATTCATGAGCTTTATTAATATCCCATATAGTGTCATTCTAGAATAATGCTAGCAAAATAGTATGGAGTTTGCTATAGATTGAATGTTTGTGTTCCCTGTAATTCATCTGCTGAAACCTAATCCCCAGTGTGATGGTATTTGGAGGTGGGACCTTTTGGAGGTGATTAGGTCGTGAGGGTGGAGCTCTCATGAATGAGATTAGTGCCTTTAAAAAGGAGACCCCAGATGGGCTTCCCTGGTGGCTCAGTGGTTAAGAATCTGCCTGCCAATTCAGGGGACACGGGTTCGAGCCCTGGTCTGGGAAGATCCCACATGCCATGGAGCAATTAAGCTCATGTGCCACTACTACTGAGCCTCTTGTGCTCTAGAGCCTGTGCACCACAACTACTGAGCCCATGCGCCACAACTACTGAAGCCCACATGCCTAGAGCCCATGTTCCGCAACAAGAGAAGCCACGGAAATGAGAAGCCCACGCACCGCAATGAAGAGTAGCCCCTGCCCACCGCAACTAGAGAAAGCCCACATGCAGCAACTAAGCCCCAACGCAGCCAAAAATAAAATAAATAAATAAACAAAAAGAGACCCCAGAGAGTTCCATTTCCCCTTCTGCCATGTAAGAGCATAGCAAGAAGATGGCAGTTTATGAACCAGGAAGCAGGCTCTCAAGACATCAAATCGGCCAGCACCTTGATCTTGGACTTCCCAGCCTCCAGAACTGTGAGAAATAAATTTCCCTTGTTTGTAACCACCAGTCTATGATATTTTCATTATAGCATCCTGAACAGACTAAGAGTTTATTAATATGTGTTGAATGCATTAATTTAAATCCCTCCCAACTCTGAATTGTTTATTTTTCATAGGCTATAAAAGCTAATAGTAATAAAAACAATAGTAAAAAGGAACCATGTCTTTAATGCAGAAGTGAGCACAGTCTAACATACAGTACCATGGGCTGACATAAGTATTGGCTTTTTCATGCTGAGTAGTTTTCTTATTTTTTGACCTTCTGCAGATTATTGACAGACCATTTAATATTCAAGGAGCTTTTGTGCATGGAGGGAAACATTCACTGCTATTTGTATTTTAGAGCTCTGTTTAATAAACACATAGTTAATTCAGTACAACTTGGAAAAATCTATTTTTCTTACACATGTAAATGTTTATTGCAAATTTCATTAGGTAAAGTCCCTGAAACAACTTAAACTAAATTAAAAACTTACGAAGATGTTCCTTAGAACTCTTAAATGCCATACACAGCAGACACACATACATAAATGCTATAGCATTAGCTATTATTACTTATTTTACATTTAAACTTATCCTAAAGTAAACAGTATGAATCTAGTTTGTATCTTCACTATTTCTATACTTCATTATTTTTATTCCTTCCAGATTACAGTAACACTTATTTTGATTCCTCCTCAGGAAACAATCTCCATCTCAAAAGAGTACTTTTGCAAACCAGCAAGGATATAGGATGTGGTTATCTTGTTTAGGGCACAAGATCTGTCTGCTTCTCCCAAGTTATTAAAACCCCAGCTCCTGGGTTCATAAAGTTAAGTTTCCTTTTCATAGTTAAGCTTTGGTTGTTATATCAGTAAGACTTTTTAAGTCCACATCTTTCATTTAGATTTTAGAGTTTTGTTACTCAGTGCTCTCTCTGATAGCATGATTTTAAAAGTCGTATAAGGGAATGATCTCTAGGGCATATTGAGTGAGAAAAGCAAGAAGCAGAAGGCTATATGTAGTCTGCTACTTCTGTGTAGGAAGTCAAGGGGGAGGGGAATACATGTATTTGCTCATATTTAAAAAAAAAAAAAACAATGGTGAGATAAACTAAAAGCTACTAAAATTGGTTACCTAGAGAAAGGGATGGAATAGAGTAGATAAAGAGGCAGGAAAGGGAGCGATACTTCTCTGCGAACTCCTCATTTATTGTTTTGATTTTTGCTGTCATGTAATGTTACAAATAATTGAAAAAGCATAATTATATCAAAGAAAAAAAAAGATGACCATCGACACACAAAAAAGTATTATTTTAATGAAAATACCGGGTAAGATATATATATCTTAAAAGCAAAAAGAATTGCATAATTTTCTTAAACAGCTTTCCATAGTTCTTTGGTTAGTGGTCTTGTGGTATTGTTATTTCAAAACCATCATATGGGTGTTGTAGGATGAAACTAATAAGCAATTAGTTAATGTCAGGCAGACCATGGGTGCCTCCTGATGCGATGCATTAGAAGGAACCCAACATCTCCTCTGCATTATTCTTGTCATCAGAGAAAAAGAAGGAAAAAAGAACCTGAATATCGAGTTTGTAGATCTAACTGCAAACTTGCAGGAAATACAAGAAACAGAACAAATGAAAGGATTCTAGAGGAAATGAGAATGTGGCACATTTTACATGACAGATGTTCTGTTTTCTTCAATAAATAAGTGGCGTGGGAAAAAAGAAGAAAGGAGAGGGCTTCCCTGGTGGCGCAGTGGTTGAGAGTCCGCCTGCCGATGCAGGGGACACGGGTTCGTGCCCCGGTCCGGGAGAATCCCACATGCCGCGGAGCGGCTGAGCCCGTGAGCCATGGCCGCCGAGCCTGCGCGTCCGGAGCCTGTGCTCCGCAACGGGAGAGGCCACAACTGTGAGACCCTCGTACAGCAAAAAAAAAAAAAAAAAAAAAAGAAGAAGAAAGGAGAAATATTGCAGATGACAAGAGACATTAGATACATAACAAACCAAGTGTAATGTGCGGACCCTGTATGGATTTCAACTTAACAGAGCCATATGTGAAAAGGCATTTTCGAGGCAATTTGGAAAACCCAAATATGGACTGAATATGGAGTCTATATATATCTGAATGTAATCATCACTAGATGATATTCAGGAATTATTGCTCATTTCATTACATTTCATAGACAATTGCACTGTGCTATGTTCTCTAAAAACACCATTTGTTGTTAAAGATGCACACTGAAGTATTTATTGGTAAAGTAATACAATTCCTGGGATTTACTTTCTAATACTCCAGCAAAATGGGGGAGGGGAGAATAATTAACAAGATTGGCAAAATGTTGATTATTGTTTAAGCTGAGTGAAGGGGGATCATTATATAGTCTCTCTACTTTTGAGTCATATTTAAATTCTTCTGTAATAAAAAGATGTTTTTAATGTTACAGATGCCTTTTCTTCTTGTAATTAGTAGGCCCACCTGGAGATTTCATTTCCTAAGAAATGAGAATCAAGTCTGTGAATTTAGTTTCCTCCTTACAATGGTTGATTCTTTAATCTTGGAACACACAGTTAAACTGTCTTTCTGTCTACTGTCATGAGAGCAGTTTCTCTCTTTTTTTTTTTTTTGTAACTGTTTGGCTTACAGTTTCTTGTATTCAGTCTTCTCTGTTTGCACAAATAGAAACAAATACATATTTATAAATAGACATGTCCTTGCTGTAGAGGACTTCATAGCGTGAGGCCATAAAAATGACTGCACGCTGAAACCATGCAAAGCAATCTTAATAATTCATGGGGAAAATTACAATTGTTTGTGATCTGTAAAATATTTTATCAAACCATTAAAAACTCTGACCGGCAGTTATAACTATAGGAAAGAAAAATGGGGGGGGGGAGCAAAGCTATGTTTATTTAGTATACTGTAATTTAAAATATTAGAAACATTGAGGATTAAAGTGTTTTATGTCTTTGTGGGGGAAAAAAAAACCTTCGTTTTTCTCTGAGGGTGAAAGAGAAATGAATTGTCTATCCAGCCTAGGTTGAGCCCTCTAAGCAATCCTAGGCACCTAGAGATTTACAGTTTGCAAAGTCATATCTATTTTCTTTTTTTTCTAACTTATGAAGTGGGCAGCCTTTCTATGCCTTGGTGAATTGTCATACTCCTTTCTAAATCTGGATCAGCTTCCAATATTTTGTGCTTTTAATGTCATGAAATAGCTCTATGAATTCCTTTTCAAATAAAACTTTAGTGTCTCAGAATTCTGTGCAAACTTGTAAAGATTCTCTATAGGCTTCTAGCTAGACATTGGACACAATCTGATTGTGTTTTATAAGGTCATTTTCAAAATATTGATAATATTTACCCCTCTAGATCAGTGGTTTTTAATAATTTTAGTATCTTATAGCAATGATTTTCAAGCGTTTTTTCATGTGACATTATACTCAGTGCAGTACTGTTCTAGAGGATAAGGGGTGGGGAGGAGAGGACCAAGAATCCCATCCCCTGGGTCTTCTCTCCCCAGCTCCTGAGGTTGCTCCCAAACACCTCCAAGAACACAGTTTGCGGATATCTGCACTCCATAGTGGATCAAAATTCTGTGGTTGATAAAGTCTTTAAGACACCCACACACCATGATGCAGATCAACTATGATCAAACACATGGGTTCTTCCCAGTGTATTGGTGCCTCTGAATCATCCCAGGCTTGGCAGAAATATCCCATCCCTCTATTTCTGTCTCTCTGTTGTAGATCACTGATTAGGATCTGGTGTTACTCTCCACCCATCCTTCTAAATGATGCTTCACATTGTTCCTGGCTCTCAGCACCCACCGTGACCATGGCTTTGATTCTACTTTTCAGTGCCTGACGTCACCAGCAACTAGCCCTGCCTGTGCTCACTGAGACACCAGCCTGGGATCTAGAGGTATGACACATGGTCCCACACACGTCTAATTCGTGTTGCCCTTTCTCTCCCCACATGCCTTTTGCTATTTTAGCTTCTCTCAGGTGCACAGTCTTTGTTCTGAAAGTCTCCATATTCTGAATTACTTCCTTCCCCTCTTTACAGGATCAAAACCAGCTGTTGGAGCTGGTTGTTCCTTTCATTAACTTGGTCTGGTTTTTAAGTTAGGTCTCATTAATGTTTCGGCCATATCTTTGTGAGCAAAATTCCCAGGCAGATGGCAGAGAGAATGGAGGGGGTGTGGAATACAGAGGAAGTAGATTAGAACGGAAAGAAAATATCCTCCTTTAAAGCTTTCCATAATGCTATTTTTGTCATTATAAAGATACAAGAGAGGAGGAGAAGGAGAAAGGGGGAGATTTAGTAGAGAGATTTTGTCAGAAAGAGAAAGAATAACTGCCTGTCCAAATGCTTCTTGGAAATTTGGGGAGGTTTCTATGGGTGTGGCTTTGTGCATATGTGTGTGTGGGGGGTGGGATGTTTGTAAATGTGTATGTGATGTTCTTTCACGTTTCTGAGTGGCCCCAATTTCAAAACCAGTGTGACCTCACACCTCTCATGAAATCTAAAATCTTTTTGAGAGCTTCCGTCCAAACTTAAGATGTATAGTGTAGAGTGTTTGGTTAATAATACTTACCAGCTGATCATCCAGTCCAAAAAGTTGTTCTACGTAAGTTTCCAACAGTCTCCGAATTTTGGGTTTCATTGATGGATCAATGCACATATCCCTTTAATAAAATCATAAAATGCAGTCAAAAATTAATTTCATTTCATAGTAATTAGTTCCATAATTAAATCAGTGATTTTAATGGGTGGGGGGAAGGGAAGGGAAGGAAAAACACTTCCCCTTGGGAGAGGCATGTCAGAATCACCTGGAGGGCTTTTTCAAATCACTCCCCCTCAGGATTCTGCTGTGCTCCCCAAGAAGCATCCTCATCCTGTCCTCATCCTCAACTTGAAATAAACTGCCCTGTGAGCACATGTTGTTGATGAGAGTGTGCTATGTTTCTAACTTAAGAACCAGAGGAGAAATTGTTCCTATTGAAGTTTGGGGGACTTAAAAGCCTATGGAGGGGAACTTCCCTGGTGGCGCAGTGGTTAAGAATCCGCCTGCCAATGCAGGGGTCACGGGTTAGATCCCTGGTGCAGGAAGATCCCACATGCCGCGGAGCAGCTAAGCCCATGCGCCACAACTACTGAGCCTGCGCTGTAGAGCCCGCGAGCCACAACTACTGAAGCCCGCATGCCTACAGCCTGTGCTCAGCAACAAGAGAAGCCACCGCAATGAGAAACCCGCGCACCGCAAGGAAGAATACCCACCGCTCTCCGCAACTAGAGAAAGCCCGCGTGCAGCAACGAAGACCCAACACAGCCATAAATGAATAAAGTTATATAAAAAAAAATAATAACAGACTGAAAACTACTTGGGGTAACTAAATGTCCTAGCTCAATAAACAATCATGATGATTATATATATATATATATATATATATATATATATATATATATATATATATATATATATATATATATGCCTATGGAGGGATTCTTTGACAATCTTAAGATTGGAAACATTCATCAGCAAGACCTTTTTTGATAGCATACAAGGAGTGTTTTACCTTCAAAATAAAATATCTCCCTACCATAAATCAAAACAATACTTACCAGAGAAGACTTTAAGACCATTTTCCATTACAGCAGTGATCATTTTCTCTAAATACCTCAGGGGATCCTCAGGACATGTAACAAGTAGACCACATAACAGAGCCTGGGAAAATGAAATGGAATCAGTGTTTCTGGATTTGCATGTTCTTACTAAGCAAGAGACTTTCTGTCAGACAAAGTCAAATAATGTGACAGTTTCTAAACTAAATGTGATTTATAGATATCCCTCTGTGTTTATTCAATGTTACCAAATAACCAGAGCAACATGCAGTTTACCTTTACTCTTAAAAATATTCCATTGTAAATGGCGAGTTGTTGCATTATGTGAGGGGTCACGGGTTAGATCCCTGGTCCAGGAAGGGACAGTCCAATTGAAGAAATAGTTGTGATTACCTTAGATCAATGGTTTCTACCATTTTTAAATATGAGGAACTCCTTTTTTATTGAAGTATAGTTGATTTACAATGTTGTGTGAGTTTCTGGTGTACAGAAAAGTGATTCAGATATAGATATAGATATATTCTTTTTCATTATGGTTTATTATAGGATATTGAATATAATTCCCTGGGCTATACATTAGGACTTTGTTGTTTATCTTTTTTATATATAGTAGTTTGTATCTGCTAATCCCAAACTCCTAATTTATCTTTTCCCCCTCCTCCTTTTCCCTTTGGTAACCATAAGTTTGTTTTCTGTGTCTGTTTCTGTTTTGTAAATAAGTTCATTTGTATCATATTTTAGATTCCACATATAAGTGATATCATATGGTATTTGTCTTTCTCTTTCTGGCTTACTTCACTTAGTAAGATAATCTCTAGGTCCATCATGTTGCTGCAGATGGCATTATTTCATTCTTTTCTTATGGCTGAGTTATTTTCCATTATATATATATAATGGAAATTGAATCAGTGATTTTAATGGGTGGAGGGAAAGGACGCTCCATATATATATATATATATATATGTATATATGTATATATATGTGTGTATATATATATATATATATATATATGTTCCGCACACAGCAACGAAGACCCAGTGCAGCCAAAAATAAGTAAATAAAATAAAGTAAATTTTAAAAATGTATTGGTGGGGCTTCCCAGGTGGCGCAGTGGTTGAGAGTCCGCCTGCCGATGCAGGGGACATGGGTTCGTGCCCCGGTCTGGGAAGATCCCACATGCCGCGGAGCGGCTGGGCCCGTGAGCCATGGCCGCTGAGCCTGCGCATCCAGAGCCTGTGCTCCGTTAACAGGAGAGGCCCGCGTACCGCAAAAAAAAAAAAACCAAAAAAGAAAAAAATGTATTGGTGAGTCATATTTTGAATACCTCTCCATTTGAGACAGAGAAAAAGAGTTACAGCACACATCCCACAGAAACCACCTGGAGTGCTTAGACATTTCTCTTTGGTTCACTGGTGGGTCTCCTGGTACAGGTGTGGGGATGTGTATGTGTGTATAGCAGGTGAGACTCTCTCTTTGGCCCTTCCTCCACATAGGGCCTCCTCTTGCTGGCTTTTTTCCTACTCCTCTCTCTCATGAACAAAATAATTCCACCTCTGAGTCATGCAGAGTTCTTCCCACCTACCTCCATGAGCCAAGTGTCAACAGATCCAGGCCTGGGGGTCCTGGGTTTTAGACTCTCAGCAGTTCTCATAGTGTTCCTCCACATAAGAACATAATTCTCCTGACTGAACCTGCACAACACATTTTCCCATTTGCTGTAGCTCCATGTCCCCCCGCCCCACTTAGTGTGCAACCTGCGGGCTGGGAACCTAGCCCCTAGGGCTATGGCCAAAGGGTAAGACCTCGATGTCTCTCCCTTCCCAGCTCTGCCTCCGATGTAGCCCCACCCCAGCTGCTTACAGTGAGCACTCAGCCATCTGCAGACTAATTTCCTTCTCCCCCGGACCTAAAGAATATAGTGATACGGGAGATCAGTGTTCTCACCAAAGTTGTCAAGCTGGGTTTGAATAGTCTTCTATTACCTAAGGGCTGAAGTTGTCTATTCCCTGGAGGCTAGACTTCAGACAGCTCCCTAAATAGCCCTGATGAAAAGCCCATCTGCTTTCTAGCCCTTCTGTGCCTCGATCACTAGAGTACTGAGTTTCTCTACTCCCTACTCCACATTCTCCCCTTGATCCTAGTCTGGTACCCAGAGGACATCTGCAGCAGAATAACCTGGGGAGTGAATTGGTCTCAGAGGGTGAGGTCTAGGAACCTGCATTTTGATTGGCTCCCCAGTTGATTCCTATCACACTGAAGCCTTACTGGAATTCAGCTTTAAAGTAAATTATTGAGAAAATTGGGATCTGATAAATGAATATGAGAGGTTGCTTATTTCTTTATATTTCCAAGCTCCACAGATCAGAAGACTACTTTTCCTGAAAAGTTATCCCGCAGATATCAAATCAAGTTAAAGGGTAAGTCTGTGGAATGCTAATAAAGTCATATGGAACTAGCATAGTTCAAATGTTCACTTTTTGCGTAACAAATCTCACTGTTCGTAGTTTCCCACTGGGCAAAATAAAATATCCTGGGGTTTCACATCTTAATGTGTGAACAGTGCATAGCTCCATGCAAATATGAAAGCATAGTTAGTGAATCAATAGATTTTTTTTTCTGCTATAAAACCATTACCTTGGTCTTTATAAGGAGAGACAAAATATGCAAACATGCCTGCAAAACGAATGTTTGACTCTCAAAAAACGATGAGTAGGGCTTTATTATTGCTAGCCTTCTTAGTAAAAACTTACATGGTCAAGGACAAAAAAAAAGACCATGACTTACTTGGCTTTCTCAGTCTTGTAAATTCACAAAACAATTGTGGAATCCTCCGCTTTCTTTGCCTCTGCCTCCCTAATCTCAGTCCAGAATATTTCTCAAATATTCTGAAAAATGTCTGGGTACTGAGGACAAAGAAGGGTTTATCCAAGACGGTTGTTTCTGCTCCTTTTCAGTACTACCCATCTTACAAGAAGCAAGATAATGCAGTGAATGGAGTCCTCTGGGTTTAACTCCTGGATCTGTAATTTTCTGGTATGTAACCTCTGACAAGCTACTTCTCTTGTGCTTCTGTTTCCTTAACCATACATGGGATAATAAAGGTATATATATCATAGGGCTATCATGATAATTAAATGAATTAATATATGTTAAGTACTTTGAATTGTTTTCTAGCACAAAATAAGTACTCAATAGATAATAATGATAACAAGCCATCATCATTTTTTAAACCATTCCACTGCTAATTATCACTTCCATTACAGGAAAAGACTTGGACAAAGAGAAAATAAATTTTAAAATATTCCCTTGTACCATTCAAAGGCCAGTGTAATGACAGAGAAAGAGAGACTTTATACCAAGTCTATTGGAAGAGATTAAGACCAATGCATTTGGTCTTGGTTAGGAGAGAGAAATGGTTAGGAGAGAGAAGTTGATAGAACAATAGTTTAAATATAAATAGCAAGGTAGGAACTGTATATTAGAACTATGGGTAGATATAAGACACTTGAGAGAGCAAGTCTTGTTTATCTTTTTAGATACTCAGATAAACATAGGAAAAATGCTAAGGGCCTAAATAGCAATATAGAAGATAATTGCTTCATGAGGGCAGAGATAAAAGTGATTACCAAATGCTTGTGGGGTCCTCAGCAGTTGGAGAAACTTTCAACTGGTAAGGAGAGGGCAAGGGTCTTCCTCTTGGCAAGAACAAAGCCTCAGGGGCACAGACCAGTTTGGCTGGAATGGAGGATAAATGTAAAAGAGAAGCAGGCAGGGTCACTCTGTGACGACGTCAGAATTCCATACCGGGACCCAGGACTGGATCCTCCTCTAGACACAATAGGTCACTCATGATCAAACCCCTGCAAGATCAATCACATGGCCAAGGTCACAGATGGCCATACAACAGAGAGTCGCAGCTCAGTGTGTTTCCAAGATCCCTCTAGGGTTGACCTTGACTTTTAGAGGGTATATTCTTGCTTCTGGATTTCACAGATGAGGCAGAGAAGGGCCAAGTGATTCACAGAGCCAGCATGTTTTTAAACTACAAACCTAGGACTCCCCCCTGGCCCATACCATGCACTGAAACAAAATTGTGTGCATGTGTATCTTTCTCCAGAACTTGAGAGGTTTTTTTTCACATTATCTCTTCCAAAATATTTTATTCATACGCCAACCCCCAAACACATTCTTCTTTCAAGTAGACGGTAATCAACATATAGTTTACACCTTGTTTTTTTTCCAGATGAGATTGCTTTTAAAATTGCAATGTCAGCACCAAATAGTTACAGAAACCCCTTTACTTAGGAAGAGGCTTAAGTTTCTAAACATTGTCCAAAGTCCCTTCAACCTCCCTACCCTCCAACCCCCAAAACAAGTCCAAAGTGCCATCTCAGAAATGCTCACCATCCCCATCTGTAGTAGAGATGGTGTTGGCATGCTGTAGTTCTAGGAGTGTCTTAATGTTTTTCTATGGAAGTTAGTAAGTTAAAAATTTGTAAATAAAGGGGGTTCTGTGTCTTGTCAACATTTAAATAGAGGGTGCCAAATTTTTATTTTAGAAACTCTATAACTAAAAACATATTGAAGATTATCGAAAGGGATCAACTGGATTTAGCCATTAAGGAGGGACCCCAGGGACAGGAAGATGCCCCCAAGGCCAGAACTTGAGGGGTTTTAAGGCAGACTGGACAGGAGAGGAGACGAGGTCTCTGTGAGGTGAGAGCAAGACAGTAAAAGCAGGATCCTAATACCTGTGGGATTGTGCCTGGCCCAACAGGGAGGTGGTCACCAGCCATGTAATCCCTAGATGAGTAGGTGAATTGTTACTGAAGAAATAATAAGCCTTTGGGTTGTCATATGCCTTTGGGTTGTTTAAGTGTACCATGGGTTTTCCTCTGGAACTGCATCTATGAACTGGCTGACTGGGCTAAGGGAACACAGCAAACATAACTGCCCTCAGGGGAAGCCACAACCTTCTAGTCCCAGGGTCCAGCAAAATGAGTTAGTGTGACCAGTTCCTTGTGGTCTCTTGCTCATATATTTAGTAATTCCTGATTCTTGCATCTCTGGCAAGTATTTGCAGCTATTAGTCTCTAAAAAAACTGATAGTAGAGTCTATGTGATTTAGAAATAAATACGTTTTTTTAAATACAGATTGGAAAATTAATCATGAAAGAAACACAAAGCATAAAAACTGCATAAGAATTTTTTAAAACATGTATTTATTTATTTATTAATTTCTAAAAATAGAAAACTTTGCATAAAGATCATGGTTTGTAACTTAAACATGCCCTCTGCTGGGCAGATCTAGTTTTGCAAACTCCTTTAATCTTTCCTAGTTGTTAAACCGAAACCTGAGCTAACACTTTCTCACTCGCAGATGCAATCTTTATATGTAGGGACTAAAGAGTTTTGTAGACATTATACCCTTAATATCTTGCCCATCTTTGGTCCCTATGGGGCAGGCCTTGTTTGTAGACAGGGTGCTGGCTTCTGCCTAGTATGTAGAAAATTGAGAGAGAAACAGATTTCTAAATACTTCTGATAACCTACTGTTTGATATTCTACCAATAGGGCTTCATTGTATGGACTCCTAGCTTAGTGAAAGCTTTTAAAATACAAGTGTATTTTGGAAGGAATATCTCAAAGGAAGGAGATTCCAACAGTGGTGGGATGAGTATTTCAGAGTTCTCAGAGAAAGAAACAATGAATATAATGAGAGTGAAGAATTAGAAGGCAATATTCAGTTTCCCCACAACTGTATCGAGGCGCAGGCTCTCAGTGTCTACATGTAGATAGTTTTTTTAAAAACTTTGAATTTCTGAAATATACTTTTGCCAAATCTTAGAATAATATATAGAAAGTAAATATTTTATTGCCCAAATTCCCAAGTCTTTGATCATTTAGTTCACTTTTTTTTTTCAAATCTAAAATTAAAGTTTAAAACAATACTTGACTCCAAGGTCTAAAAAAAATGTCTCTATGTTTATATCTGGTGTATAAATAATACACCTGGGTTGCATGACACTGTGCTAGGTGCTGATGGTCTATGAGGTCCACTCACTTGCTGCAACATGGAGGACATGAACCATGAAGGAAGAGATTATTTCCTGTGATTGATCACAGTGGTTTCAAATTTTGTTTTTTAAATCAGAAAAAAAAATCTTAAAAAAAACCCCAAACTCATGGGAATCCCCAAATATAATCTAGATCCTTTCTTAACCTCTAGAGCATCCCCCATAGGCGTCCTTAGAACCCTGGGATTCTGCTAAAAAAGAAAAAAAAACTTTGGAAATCTATCAGTATGCAATTAGTCACACACAGGCCTACGTGAAAGCAGAGTGAGGAGATTTTATGAAAGTGCCATCGTAAGCAGGAAAAGAGGCTGACCCATCTAGGAAAGAGGGTGTCCAGGAGACCTCAGCTGGCACAGCAGCCAGAGGAAAAGGGCTCTCGTCCCAGGGAGACCAGACACAGGCCTGCAAACTGGCCAGCCAGCTGGTTTCCTAGGATGAGAAACCAGCACTTGCCAGCAATGAGTGTTTTTATGCTTCCTATGCTTTCTTTGTATGTTTTTTTTCTAATTCTCCATCAATAAATTTCACTTGATAATAGTATGGGAAAGCAAAAGAGGAGGCACTTTTCCCTACACGTAAGCCTGTTTTCATTATTTTGTTTAAATATATGAACTTTTTCTGTTTATAAAAATATATATGTTCTATGTAATTTGGAAAGTTGAAAAAAAATACAAAGAAAATAAAAAGCAACCATCATCCTGACAACCAGAAATAGCCTCTAATAAAAATTTTAATTTCAGTCTTTCCTCAACACATATATTTTTACAAAATTAAAATTAGGATCATACTACAGTTTTTTTTTAAAATAAATTTATTTATTTTATTTTTGGCTGCGTTGGGTCTTCGCTGCTGCGTGCGGGCTTTCTCTAGTTGTGGTGAGCGGGGGCTACTCTTCATCGCAGTGCATGGGCTTCTCATTACAGTGGCTTCTCTTTGTTGTAGAGCATGGGCTCTAGGCACGCCAGCTTCAGTAGCTGCGGCATGCGGGCTCAGTAGTTGTGGCTCGTGGGCTCTAGAGCGCAGGCTCAGTAGTTGTGGCACACGGGCTTAGTTGCTCCACGGCATGTAGGATCTTCCTGGACGAGCGTTCGAACCCGTGTCCCCTGCTTTGGCAGGAGGATTCTTAACCACTGTGCCACCAGGGAAGTACCTACATATACCTTTTTTTATTCCTGGCTAGTTATTACATTGCGAACATTTTTCCATGCCACCAAAAATTCTTCAAAACATCATGTATTGAGGTTGGTTGATAACCTATTGCATAAAATTATACCATAAATGTTTACAATTTATAAATGGCTGGACATTTAGGTGTTTTTAACTTTTTCCCTTTATTAAAAATTATATGATATACATATTATCACTACTAATGATGAAATGTACATATCTTCACCTCTATTTCCTTAGAAATAGAATCAAAATGTGTATTTTGAAGATCTTCATACATTTCTCAAAATTGCTTTTCTAAAAAGATATTATCAGTTTATACTTTCATTGATAGCCAATGGGAGTGTCCCATTCACCTTGCCAACACTGAGAATTAAAACATTTTTATATTTGTTGATTTGATGAAAATAATTCATTTTCATCTACATTTCATTTTTTCAGTGCAGTTAAATTAGTTTTCTTACATTTACTAGCTGCTATAGACTGAACCGTGTCCCTGCAAAATTCATATATTGAGGGGCTTCCCTCGTGGCTCAGTGGTTAAGAATCCACCTGCCAGTGCAGGGGACACGGGTTCAAGCCCTGGTCTGGGAAGATCCCACATGCCATGGAGCAACTGAGCCTGTGCGCCACTACTACTGAGCCTGTGCTCTAGAGCCCGTGAGCCACAACTACTTAGCCCATGAGCCACAACTACTGAAGCCCGCACGCCTAGAGCCCATGCTCCACAACAAGAGAAGCCACTGCAATGAGAAGCCCACGCCCTGCAACAAAGAGTAGCCCCCGTTCGCTGCAACTAGAGAAAGCCCGCATGCAGCAACGACGACCAAATGCAGCCAAAAATAACTAAATAAATTTATTTTTAAAAAATTCATATTTTGAAACTCTATTCCCCAATGTGATGGTATTTGGAGATGGGGCCTTTGGGAGATAATTATGTTTAGATGAGGTCATGAGGGTAGGATCCTCACGATGGGATTAGCACCCTCATATAAAGAGACACCAGACAGCTTGCTCTCTTTCTTTCTCTGCCAAGTGAGGACACAGTGAGAAGGCAGCCATCTGCAAGCTAGGAAGGGAGCCATCAACAGCACTCAGCCATGCTGGCACCCTGATCTTAGACTTGCAGCCTCCAGAACTGAGAAAATAAATTTTTGTTATTTAAGCCACCCAGTCTATGGTATTTTATTATAGCAGTCCAAGCCAACCAAGATACTAGCCATCTATGATTTTCTATACATTTGATATGTCATTTTTGGGGACAGGCTTTATTTAGATAAGGATGCAAGATATAACAGTAACCAAAGAGAGAATCTCAAAGGGATGGTAAAATTCAGAAAGATAGCAGGGCCACTTGTTGAATCTCTACTCACGTCTCCCGAAGTCTCCCCCTGGAGTCTTTCTCAGCTAAGGGTTTAAAGGGTTTTGTGGTTTGAGACAAGCCATGGCAGCAGTTAGTCCATGACTTACTCTCTGTCTTGGTCCATTTGGACTCCTATCACAGAACACCATAGACTGGGGGACTAATAAACAACAGAAACTTATTTCTCACAGTTCTAGAGACTGGGAAGTCCAAGATCAAAGTGCAGGAAGATTCTGTGTCTGGTGAGCACCACTTCCTGGTTCATAGATGGCCATCTTCTGACCGTGCCCTTACATGATGAAAGGAGCAATGGAGCTCTCTGGAGTCTTCATTATAAGTATTCTAACCCTGTCTATGATGGCTCCACCCTCATGACCTAATCACCTCCCAAAGGCCCCACCTCCTAATACCATCACATTGGAGATTGGGTTTTAACATATGAATTTTGGGGAGACATAAACGTCCAGTCTATAGCATGTTCATATCACTTTGTGCATTTTTCGCAATATGAAACTAATCACTGTGATTCCTGAAGATTTGAAAATAGGTATCAATTTATTTCGGTGCATGTGAGAACAACTGTCCCATGTGTGACACTGATTGCAGGTGACCAACCTGACTAGACAGCCGCTCCACCCTCCCTGTGCCACTCAGACTCTTCCTGAAGTTCCAGAAGCTTGGTGCCTGTGAAAACAACAACCTTCTCAAAGACACAATGATCATATCTGGGTCAAAGGTAATTTTCTCTGGCTTATTAAATATGTTAATGCATTCCAGACCTGCACTAATATGGCAGCTACTAATTTCATGTGGCTATTGAGCACTTCAAATGTGGCTAGTCCAAACTGAGATGTGCTGCAAGTGTAAAATACACACTCAATTTTGAAGACTTAATATGATTTTATATTGAATCCATGTTGAAATGATTATAGCCTGGATAGATTGGTTTGTAGAAAATCTATTGTTAAAATTAACTTCGCCTACTTCTTTTCACTTCTTTAACGTGTCTGTCGGACAGCCAAAGGGATAACGCACAGAGCACTCAGGAGGAAGTTTGAGCTAGAGACAGCTTCAGAGTCATAGCTGCAAATGGTTGAAGCTGTTTTCTACTAGCACATGGTAGATGCCCGGCAAATGCTTGCTGACGAAGTGGTCAAATGTACCCTTCTTAGCTGACCACTCTTGCCATCCCCTCCAAGAAAAAAAGGCTGGCTGGTGTCCAGAGCCTAATCTGTTGTTAAAAAAAAAAAAACCTAACTTGAATTGAACATAAAATCCAGCAGATTTTAAGCTGGTGTGCAAACCTCTAGAAGCCCACAAAGGCTTTCCAAGGGATATGTGAGAGTGAATAGTATAAAGGACTCCATTTCCAGATCCTCACCTTTCCCATGTATTCTTTCCAGAACCTGATTTGCCTCAGGACACATTTTGTGATTTTCTTTTCCCGTTCTTCCCATTCACAATTGCTTTCTTCCGCTCTAGAAACTAAAGGCCTGTCTCTCATCCATCTGGAATCTCACTACACAGAAAACTGAGGCAGAGAGATTTAGAAACTTGCTCAAAGTCACACAATTAGTAATTGGCAAAGCCAAGAATCAAACCTAGGCAATCTCGTAATAATAGATGATCCCCTTGTATTGCTTCACACACTTTAGGGTTCAAGTAATAAACCTCAACTAAACATGGAATTTATTGGCTCCTACACTAGAAATTCTAAAGGTAGATCATGCTTTGGATGAATTTAACCCAGTGACTAACTGATGTCACTAGAGGCCTGATTTCTTTCCATTTCCCGACTCTACCTTCCTCAGAATCCGCTTACCCTAAAACCATCTTTCCTTGTGGACACAGGAGAATTGGCAATGGCTCCCAGGCCTACATGCTTCCCCACAAACATCCAGAGATGCTATATCTCTGTCCCAGCATTCCAACCAAGCAACCTGATCTAAACTGGTTTAGGTCACATCTTGTCCTCTCCCATGATCCTCACCACCACCCGTCATAGTCACAAACATTGTGGCCAGGGCACTTGAATGCGCTGGTTGTCATAAGCCAATCAGGGTCCAACCCCAGAGTTAGGGATAGTCAGTTTCCCTGAAGCATATGGGCTATATGGGGAAGAGGTAGTTTATGGAATGAGAGTGTAAGAAATATTAGGAAGAGGGAAGTAGATGTTGTGTAGGCAACTTGTTAATGTCCAGTATACATCTGCTCCTGGGGAACATAGAAAAGAAAGAAGGGATATTTATAGAAGAATTGAGACCCACTTACTGGGTGATAGTGTTGTAATCCACATCTTATTTGTTCAGATAATACTTTGAGATCCAACTTGATCCCAGATTCCCCTTGAATGAACAAGCCAGGTATATAGCTGATTGTATTTCCTTAAATGGCCGTAACAATATATCCCATCCCATGAGCTCTTTTTGCAATGTGACTTTGATACACTTCCCATCAAGAAGTGGGGTATATGTTCCCTCCTCTTGAATATAGGTGAAAATAATGTTATGTTGACTTCCAAGCCTAGGTCATAAATGGTGATAAACTTCTACCCAGTTCTCTCTGGGGACACCTGCACTTAGAACTCAGCCACCATACTGTGAGGAAGTCCAAGCAGCCCATGGAGAGGCCCATATGGAGGAACCAAGCCTCCTGGTTCACAGACCTAACTGAACTCCCAGCCAACATCTGACACCAACTTGCCAGGCATGTGAGTGAACCATCTTAAAAGTGGATCTTTAACCCTCTGCTGATCCACCCTGGATGGTACCACATGGAGCAGAGACAAGCTCTCCCTAAAAAACCTTGCAAGAATTTCAGATTTTTGAGCAAACTAAGTGAGTCATGTTGTTTTAGGCCATGAAGTTTTGCAGTTGTGTTACACAGAAATGAATAATTGATACAGCAAGCTAACAGAAAATGACTGCACAGCCAAATCAAGCCTGTCATTTCATCCATCCCTAGCTACATACGTTATGAGCAGCCATGACTATCATTTATTTTTTTATTATGGAAAACTTCAAACGTATATAAAGTAAACAATAGTATAATGAACCCCTATGTGCCCATCACCCAGTTTCAACAATTATCACCATTCTGTGATCTTTGTATTATCTATATATTCACCCATTTTTCCACCTGTTCTCAATTATAATTTTTTTAGGTAAAGTTTACATGAATTCAACACAAATCCTAGCTGTATAATTCTGACAATGGGTACACCTACACCTCAGTCATTTTCCAACTCCCCAGAAAGTCCCCCGTGTAGCGTTCCACTTAAGCCTTCTGTATCAGTCAGCGTCCAGCCAGGAGACAGAAATCACACCAGTAAGTTGAGTAAAGAACGTTTATTCTATTCTAATAATTTAATTCAAAGTTATTCATATTAACAGACAATGGTTTTAAATTAATAATAACTAACATGTTAAAGAAAACAGGATATGATAGACAAAATGGATGAAAAGATGCAGAATATTAATTGGAATGTATAAAAAATCAAATGGACATTCTAGAACTGAAAAATATACCATCTGAAATTAAGAACTCATTTGATTCATTTGATGTATTTAACAGTAGACAGGACTCAGCATAAAACAGAATCTGTAAACGTGAAGACAATCAATGAAAAATATCCAAACTTAAGCACAGAAAAGAGAATGGGGAAAAAACAGAAGAGAGCCAAAGAGGCATAGGCATGTAGGACTAAGTTAAAAAAAAAAAAAAGCTAACATATTTATGATCGGAGTCCCAGAGGGAGAAGAGAGAATTAGGTAGAAGCAGAATTTGAAAATGACCAAGAATTTTCTAAAACAGATGAAAAATATCAATCAACAGATTCAGTAAGCCCAGTGAATCAAGCAGGATTGGAAAAAAAAAAAATCAGCCTCTATTCAAAAGTTGGCAGGGAAATGATATCCTAAGTAGACAGCCAGGTTTTATTCAGGACAGGTAGGTGGAGTTCAGAAGAGGTTAAATATACATAGAAATCTGTGATGAAAGATGATGTATTCCAAAACTTGCAGAAGATGGGTTTTAGAAGAGTGCTAGGCATGGAAAATTGGGTCAGGCGAATAGATGTACAGGGATATGAGACACAATGGGATTCAGCCTGATAGTCTCTTAGGGGAAGCAGGTAACCAGGTTAAGGTGGGTGTGTGAGGCTCTCTTGCACCTGCTGGTAACGTGGTAGCAGAGGTGAGTGAAGGACTCCTCGGAAGAATACCGTCTTAGGCAATGGGGAGCACTTCTAAGGGCCTCTTTTCTCTAGGGGCAAAACAGTATGGTAGGCTGGTGAGGAAGAGGTGCTCTCATCCAGAGGAGGAACCAGGGATGCCTCTTGCAGCCATGTAGTGTTATGGCAAGTGGAGAGCAAGGCAAGGAGAGGTTACTACTTCCCTGATGTTCCCTGACCCTCAACTTGAGTCCAGTTGTGCTACCTGCTCCATGGCCAACTTGGACTGAGTCATCACTCAGAATGGCTTTATCCTGAATCTTAAATAGCCCTCTGTATCTGCAGGTTCTTCATTCATGGATTCAACCAAATGTGGATCCAAAATGTTTGGGAAAAAATTCCATTGTTTCAAAAAGCAAAAGACTTCACTGTGTGCAGGCAACTATTTACATAGCATTTACATTGGATTAGGTGCTATAAGTGATCTAGAGATGATTTATTTAGAGGTGATTTATACAGTGGGATGTATGTATGCAAATACTATGCCATTTTATGCAAGGTCCTTGAGCATGCACAGATTTTAGTATCCATGGCAGGTCCTGGAACCAACCCTGAGGATACTGAGGGACAACTGTATTAGGTCCTTTGAGGAGGCTCTTTCTCCCCAGGATACTTTCACCCCTCCAGGCCTACTTGTATTGATATGATAGTACAAAAATGGTTTCAAAGAGGGAAAATTGATGAACCACAGATTTTTCAGGTTCTCCCCTTGGAAACTAAGTCCATTTCCTTTTTATAAGTTTGGAATTTTGCACTATGAAGTCATGTGTTATTTTTATTTATTTATGGCTGTGTTGGTTCTTTGTTTCTGTGCGAGGGCTTTCTCTAGTTGTGGCAAGCGGGGGCCACTCTTCATCGCGGTGCACGGGCCTCTCACTATCGCGGCCTCTCTTCTTGCGGAGCACAGGCTCCAGACGCGCAGGCTCAGTAGTTGTGGCTCACAGGTCCAGTTGCTCCACGGCATGTGGGATCTTCCCAGATCAGGGCTCGAACCCGTGTTCCCTGCATTGGCAGGCAGATTCTCAACCACTGCGCCACCAGGGAAGCCCGGAAGTCATGTGTTAATATATCTGACCAAGAAAAAGGTCTAATAAAACAAAAAGATGAAGATACTGACAGAGAACTATACAAACATTCCACTTTCTGACCCCCATCTCCTATTTTCCAGCTCCCTCACTCAATTACTCCCTCTACCCCTCTTCATTCCCTTCTTACAAACTTCTACTTTCTACCCACATATCAGTATTATGTCTTGTTCTCATTTCCCACCCAGTCCTTAGAGTCCTTGCCCATCACTTCAGGCACTCTCAAAAGCTTAGCTCCCTCACCATTGCCCTTCCATTATATATGTCTGGCAAACTCCTATCCTGGATGAAGTCAACTCTTATTTGTGTACCTGCATCTGATTTACTGAGTGCTGCTTGAGAAAATCATATAACTGGGAAGATGAGTACCATGCTCTCTACACATTTTCAAATATAATTGTACAGTAAACATGAACATGAATGAAACTCATCATAAAAAAATTAAAACAATACAGATGTATATGGAGTAAAAGATGAGAGTTCTCTCCTAAAACCATTCCCCAAAACATTGCTGTTAAGTTTGCCATATGTTCTATGCATGTATTATTGTCTTAAATATAGATATATATATGCATGTACATATATATACATATAAACATACATATATACACGTATACATACATATATGAAATCAGATAGGTAGCTAGATTGTAGTACACACTTTGTTAAGCAATTTGCATTTTTTTCTTTTTAAAATTTAATATGTCACGGAGAGCCCTTCTTCTCAAAAGGTACAGGTATATTTTATTCTACATAATATCCCATTCCCTTACTTACACTTAGGTAATAACCATTTTCACTATGAACAATGTTATAATGAAAATACTTGTACATCCTTCTGGTTACATGTGCAAATATGTCTCTAAAGTGGATCCTCAGAAGTGGAAATGCTTGGTCAAAGGGTATTCATATTTAACATTTTAATACATATTTCTAAATTACCATCCAAAAAGGAGGAGCTATACTGAATTGCCCTCCCACCTGTGTAGGAGAGTTACTACCCCAAGCTGGGCTCTCAACACTGCCTGGCTCTCCTTCTCTTTCCTTCCCTAGACTTCTAACTCTCCCTCCTTCTCCGCATAACTTAACTACTCAAAACCTCTTCTGCACCCTCCATCCCCACCCAAACATACTCATTCTTGGCAAATATTTCACCTAATATTAGCAGAGAAAATGGAAGTCACCAGAAGAGAACGTTCTTGACTTCCTATCCCCAAACCTACAAAACCTATCCACCTCTTGTCCTCCTTCCCTCCTGTTACAAGGCGGGTGGGTGAGGACAGTCCTTCCTCCCGCGTTTAAGTCCTGGTTGTGCGGTCCTTCCCTTCACAAAGGGCTAACTACCTTCCACCTAAAGGTCTCAGCTTCCACTCCTCAGCCAACTTAAATCTATTTTCATAGAGCCTTCATCGCTCTACTGAAAACCCAAACTCACCTTGGGTCAAATCCACTACACCTTTTCAGGTCCTTATCTTAGGTGACACTATTGCCCACTCTCTTCATAAAGCCACACTCTCCTGCTTTTCCTTCTCTGTCTCCACAGCACTTCATTCTCACTCCTCTAGTCTTCAGGCTCCTCTTGTCCAAAACTTAAAAGTTGGAGTTTGGGGTTTCTGTCCCGAGGCCCTTTGTTCCTTCTCTCTGGGAGATGTCACCCATTCCCCCCTTTCAGCCACTGTCACCCCTCTGTCTTCAACTCTGATCGGTATGTTCAGCCCAGACCGCCGACCTGCCCAAATGTGACTTCATCGTTTCCTTTTCGCTCCTCTGAACCTCCACTCCCTCTCTCCACCAAACCCCAGTCCCTCCTCTGGGAAATCTCTTCCAATTCCTTTCTCTTCTAACTCCGGCGCCACTTGGCTCCAGTACCTCGCAGACCTGAGGAATGTATTTCTCCTTGAAGTAGTTCCTCAGCCTGGGGTTGGCAAGGCGCAGCGAGGCCATGACCAGAGGCCCTGCTGAAACTCTGCGCTTCCAGCCTGCTCTTCACGCCCCGCGCAGCAGGAGCCGCGCCTGGCGTGGGGCTAGCGCGTCTCAGCGTTGCCCCGGCAACCACGCTGCGTGGGGGGGAGGGGCTAGGCGCTGCGTTGCCCCGAGCGCCCACCCTGGTGCCGAGGGCTGCCGGGAGGGAGGTGAACCTCGGGCCGGCCCGGGGGTGGTCCCTGGTGTGTGCTGTTGGGGCGTTCAGTCCTTGCAGCTCTTCACCCAGTCTCGCTCTCTTTCACCCGCGCCCCGCCCAGACTCGAGGAAGACGCCGGGACGCGTCCGGGCCGACAGGGCGGTTTCCGAGAGGCGGAGCTCAGTCGCCCATTTCCTTTCTCCGTCGGCTAGAACCCGGACGCCGGCAGCACCCTCTGGCTTCGGACTGTCCTGCGGCAGGCCCAGCGCTGCGCGTGGCCCCAGCGGCAGCATGGGCGGCGCCCGGGATGTGGGCTGGGTGGCGGCGGGCCTGGTCCTAGCGGCCGGCGCCTGCTACTGCTTCTACAGGCTGACGCGGGGCCGGCGGCGAGGCGTCCCCGGGCTACGGCTGCGCCCCTCGCGCTCTGCAGGTGAGGCCACGGGGTGCCTAGCAGGTGGGCGGGGACTGGGACTGTGGCTTTCCCAGAGTGGGGGTTGAAGACGCCACAGGTGCTCGTGGCTTTCCAGTGCTGGGAGTAAATAAGGAGCCCAGCCAGGGAGGGAGGCTGATGAGAAGGGCAAAGTCGGGAAGCCCAGGTGCAAAAGACGGGTCTTCCACTTGATTGGGTGAGTGTAAGGTTCAGAGCTGGTTCCCCGCCTCCATTTCTTTGTTCAAAATTCCGGGATGAAAAATTGCCCAGACTTTCTTGTCTGAGTCTGGCGTCACAGCGGAGGACTGTTTCTCAAAAGCGTGTTGATTGCCTCTCAACGTTAAAGCTTGCTCCCGGCCTTTGTGTTACCAGGGGGATTCTGGGGCGATAGATGAAATTCTGCGTGCAGGTAGCCTGGAAGAAGGGACGCCAGAGGGGCAGTTCTGAGGGGAGGTACTTTGAAGTCGCCGTGGTATGCGAGAGATCCTGGAGATACAGATATAGCTATGTATATCAAATTAGAACAGTTGTCTGCATGGAGGACACCCTCCTGGCGGACAAGTGCATGGTTAGGTTTCGGTCCAAAAATTGATTGATGCATTCAGGATTCTAACAACTTGTTGAATGTTCTGGGGGGTATTTCAGGTCATGGAAGCTGTTACAGAAATAATTAAAAATAAAATCTCCTGCCGACCAAGAAATTCCTCTCTACAAATGTAGGAAAGAACTAAATAGCTTTATTAGAGAATAAGCATTAAACCAGATTGCTACGCCCATCACAGGCAATCTGCTAATGGGATTGCAAAGACAGAATTCTCACCCCTTTATGTATCCAGCCAGATATAACCTATAACCTATTTCATATTAAGTACATGCCCTCAAGATAAAGAGTAATTTGTCCTTAAGAGGACTTGACAGAACCATTTGCTACACGTAGTTCATTCTAAATTCACAGGTAGTTGGGGTGGTATTTGTGTTAGCTAATAGCCGTTATGTAGAAGAAAAATAAGATTTCTCAGTATCTATGATAACCGCATAGTTACAACACAGAGCCAAGAACCGAGCTCTGACTCACCCAGAGACAAGGAGATGGGGACTCCATCTTCCTTGATGTTTACACTTCAGATGACACCAAAGACGCTAAGAAAGATTTTCTTGGGTTTTAAACCGGCAAGAGGCTTACTTAGCTTTTTAAAAGATGTATATTTATATCAAAGGGACAGACAAAGGATTTACAATTACTAGTTTGCTCAAGGAAATGTTCTCAGAAAAGGGAGTGGGTGAAAGCCTTCTTTCCCTTTTGGCACAAGGGGAAAAAAATTCATTTTAAAACAGATTTGGACTTACCCTTACTTCCAAAGCCTACTTTGTTGTCTTTGTGTCATAGATATTTCTGTATAAGTAGTCAGGTGACCCAAACTCAGATACCTTCTCACTTATACTTACTCAACATGATGAACACTGACAAAGTCTTACTACCCCCCCGCTCCACCAAAATCACCAGTACCTTGGCCAGGCAGCTTACAAAATACGTTGCTCACAGCCATTACCTGAAGCTACACTTTTTTCTTTGAAGAAGACTCAAGAAATACCCATTTTGTCAGCATCACGCTTATGTTTTGGAGGATGATCTATTTTTTTTAATTGAGATAAACACTGTATTAGTTTTAGGTGTACAACATAATGGTTTGACATTTGTATATATTGCAAAATGATCACCATAGTAAGTTTAGTTGACATCCATCACCACAAGTTTTCTTGTGATGAGAACTTTTAAGGTCTACTGTCTTAGCAACTTTCAAGTATACAATACAGTATTGTTAACTATAGTCACCAAGCTGTACTTTACACTCCTAGTACTCATTGCCCTTATAACTGAAAGTTTGTACCCTTTGACCCAGATCTTCCCATTTCCTTCAGCCCCCAGCCCCTGGCAGCCACCATGACACTCTCTTGCTATGAGTTGAGTTTTTAGATTCCACATAAAAGTGAGATCATTGTGTATTTGTCTTTCATTGTCTGACTTATTTCTCTGGACATCATGCCCTCAGGATCCATCCATGTTGTCACAAATGGCAGGATTTCCTTCTTTTTTATGGCTGAATAACATTCCATTGTATGTATGTGTGAGTGTGAGAGTGTGTGTGTGTGTGTTATCACGTTTTATTTATACATTCATCCATCGATTGACACTTAGGTTGTTTCCATGTCTTGGCTATTGTAAATAATGCTGCAGTGAACATGGCGGTGCAAGTATCTTTTCAAGGTGGTGATTTCGTGGAATCACAAAGTGGAATTGCTAGATCATGCGGTAGTTCCGTTTTTTTAGAATTTTTTTTAAAGGTTTTTTTTGATGTGGACCATTTTTAAAGTCTTTATTGAATTGTTACAATATTGCTTCTGTTTTATGTTTTGGTTTTTTTGTCCACAAGGCCTGTGGGATCTTAGCTCCCTGACCAGGGATTGAACCTGCACCCCCTGCATTGGAAGGTGAAGTCTTAAATCACTAGACCGCCGGGAAGTCCCTGGTAGTTCTATTTTTAATTTTTTGAGGAACCTCCGTATTTTCCATAGTGATTGGAATCCCCACCAACAGTGCACAAGGGTTCCCTTTTCTCTACATCCTAACCAACACTTGTTATCTATTGTCTTTTTGAGGATAGCCATTCTAACAGGTGTGAGGTGATAGCTAATTGTGGTTTTGGTTTGCATTTCCCTGAAGATTAGTGATGTTGAGCCCCTTTTCATGTACTTGTTGGCCATTTGAATGTCTTTGGGGAAAGGTCCATTCAGAGCCTCTGCCCATTTTATAATTAGATTGTTTCTTTTTTTTTTTCCTATTGAGTTGCTTGAGTTTTTAAAAATATTTTAGATAGTAACCATTTATCAGATAAATGATTTACAAATACTTTCTCCCATTTCATGGGTTGCCTTTTTATTTTGTTGATGGCTTCCTTTGCTGTACAGAAGATTTTTTCATGTAGTTCCACTTGTTTATTTTGCTTTTGTTGCTTTTGCTTTTGGTCAAATCCAAAAAATCATTGTCAACACCCATGTCAAGGAGCTTACCATCTATTTTTTTTTAGGAGTTTTAGGTTTCAGGTCTTTTTTTAAAGAATTTATTATTTGTTTATTTATTGGCTGCTTTTGGGTCTTCGTTGCTGCATGTGGGCTTTCCTCTAGTTGCACCAAGTGGGGTGCGTGGGCTTCTCACTGCGATGGCTTCTCGTTGCGGAGCATGGGCTCTAGGCGCAGGGGCTTCAGTAGTTGTGGCCCGCGGGCTCTAGAGCGCAGGCTTAGTAGTTGTGGCGCATGGGCTTAGTTGCTCTGCAGCATGTGGGATCTTCCCGGACCAGGGCTCGAACCCGTGTCCCCTGCATTGGCAGTCAGATTCTTAACCACTGAGCCACGAGGGAAGCCCCTAGGTTTCAGGTCTTATATTTAAGACTTAATCCTTTATGAGTTGATTTTTGTGTATTGTGTGAGATAGTGGTTCGGTTTCCTTCTTTTCTGTGTGTGAATTTTATTTTATTTTTTATACAGCAGGTTCTTATTAGTTACCTATTTTATACATATTAGTGTATATATGTCAATCCCAATCTCCCAATTCATCCCACCACCACCCACTGCTTTCCCCCCTTGGTGTCCATACGTTTGTTCTCTACATCTGTGTCTTTATTTCTGCCTTGCAGAGTTGTTCATCTGTAGAAAAATGGTACAGATGAACTGGTTTGATTCTTTGGCGTGTAGCTGTCCAGTTTTTCCAACACCATTTATTGATGAGACTCTTCTTTCCCTATTGTATAGTCCTGGCTCCTTTGTCATAAATTAATTGATCATATATGTGTGGGTTTATTTCTGGGCTCTCTGTTCTAGTCCACTCATCTATGTGTCTGTCTTTGTGCCGATACCATACTGTTTTGATTACTATAATATAGTTTGAAATCAGGAAGCATGTGAGTTTCTGTTGTGGATTTTTGGTTTGCAGTTACCATCCATGAGGTTTTGATATAGCAGTACATATATATATAAACAAGATAGTTTTGATAGTTTTGAGTTGCTGGTCTCTTAATCTCAAATACATTTCCAATGTCCTGCATTTCTCCTCTCCTCACAGTTGATGGTTTTGATATTTGTGTGTGAATGATTTCCTAACTTTACTGTATGTTTGCCTTTACCAGTGAGCTTTACCCATTCATAATTTTCTTGTTTTTAGTTTTGGGCTTTTCTTTTTCACCTAGAGAAGTCCCTTTATCATTTGTTGTAAAAGCTGGTTTGGTGATGCTGAATTCCCTTAACTTTTGCTTGTCTGTAAACCTTTTTGATTTCTCTGTCAAATCCGAACGAGAGCCTTGCTGGGTAGAGTATTCTGTTGGTTTTTTTTTTTTTAATATTTTATTACTTTGTTTTTTTTGTTTTGTTTTTCACACACACACACACACACACACACACACACACACAGTATTTTATTTTTACAAGAGATAAATAGACTGACACCAAGCATTGTAAATGGATGGCCACAACAAAAACAATGATTGCAATTACCAAACACGAAACACACTCACACTATGTCATAATATTGACATTCACTCCAGTAATCCTCCACTGTAACAGCTCCTTTACTTTGCAGTGAAAATTGATTTGTATATTTTTTGCCTCTGAGTCCTTGTGGGATTTTTTTTTTATTCAAACAGAAAGTCACAAAAATTATAATCATCCTCATCAGTTTACTCAGTCCTGTGTAATCAATTTTTTTTTCATCTTGATCTTTTGTTAGCACTTTTATGAGTTCATCAGTTTTCCATTAGAGTTCTGAAAATGCTTATTCATTCAGTTCAGCAGTATAGTCAGTTACCAGAAACCTGTACTTGTCTTTTCCATGAATTCCTTGAAGGTGAAACCCTTTTATAGGAACATATTTGCAGAAGCATCAGAGTACACCCAGAACTGTTTGTAAATGACGAAAGACTTAAAAATGACCACGGTTAAAGATTTGATGA